TTCTATCAGTCCCTGTATTTTGTTTGTGTTGAGAACAAAACAAGAAGCTGGTTGTACAAGGGATATGGTATTCAGGGCTTTCAAGGGTTTTTGAAGTGAGGGACACTGGCACTGAAACTGCAAGTAGGCATGTGGCAGTGGTCCTAGAAAACATTAAAACGAAAGCTAACAAAAAGTTCACATGCATGGCTAACTTTCTTTTGAAGCTATTGAATTAAACCAACAATGGCAAAAGAAGAAAAATGCCAGAAGCTGACGAGGCCCCATTTTCTGAGAGAAACGACAAAGACCCCCCAACATTTATGTGCTCGATTGCCGGTGTTTTTATCGAAAAATCACAGGTGATCGGTATATTTATCGATCTAACACCGGTCAGATTATATTTCTTGATCTAATACCAGTAGTAGTAAAATGCGTTCCATGTCCCACGCTATATAATGATTTGGCGCCACGTGGGGTATAGCGCCCCCTGTACCGCGCTATATGCTGACATGGTTTACACGTGGGTATAGCGCACCCCCTGTTCCGCGCTATAGCTGTTTATCTGACACGTGGGGTATAGCGCGGTACAGGGGGCGCTATACCTTTAATTACCCCCAACATTCCCTATAAATGCCCATCGTCCATTATTTTCATCATACCATATTCGCTTAAATACTCTCTCTGTTTAATGTATATTTTATAATATTTTTAATATTATGTATTTAATTTATTTAAGCATTTTACTTTATTTATTATTTTACTAATATAATTTTTTTTTCCAGATATATAATGAAAGACGGTCTACTTCGCTTGGATGGAAATCATATATCTCGACACTTTGCTGATACGGTAACATTTTAACATTTTACTAATTTAATTTATTTAATGCACATATGGTTGCGTCGATGGCATCTCCATATGGTCAAAGAAATTTGCAGATGAATGCATTCCCCTTGAACTGGATGCGGTGTTGCCATACGGATTGTTCGTGGACCTACCTCGGTACATATCGTAAGGAGTTGCGGATGAATGTCTTCTCATTATGACATTAAAATCATTACATATTACTGTAGTCGGGCTGTCAACTTGGTCAACTTGTTCAGTCAACCCATAGTGGGAGCTTAATGATTGAACCCGAACAGCACGCACTTGAACAAAATGTGCATATATCTTAATAGCGGCGTCTGAATAATTACTTTGAGCTTCAACCATCATTTGAACATCATCATTGTTCGAAAGTTAGAACGTTGTATAAGTTAATGGCAACAATAATGTTGGAAATCTGCAACGACGACATTCTTCTACTACTTCCAACATGAATCTTCTTCGAAATCTTCGTTATCAGCTCCTCAAGAGTTATGTTTCTCTTGAATGATATTTTAACACGCTCATTTGATACGAAAAAAACGCTGGTTTCATCTTCTCGAATTTCACCATCATAATAAACAATAGCTGAAAGTCGCGTCATTCTTTTAGTTTAAAAGTACGACAATATTATATCTGCAAAAGAAAAATAACTAAAACAAACCTGATTAAATAAATTATATATGAACGAAAATATAACACAATAAATTTTTTACACATCAACGTAAATAATTTAAATAATATAATTTTATATTATTATCTGCATTGCAAAACTATTTTGACGTATGCTCCTGTTTTTCAAAAATTAATTGAAAATAATTAGTATAATTTTTTTTAAATAATCATAATAAACAATAATTATAATAAAAAAATTTATAATAAAATTTATAACGAAAAATCGCACGAACTTCTAAATCAAATATGAGAAAATTATCAGAATTATTACTCGTTAACGGAATTGTTGTATTAATTTATAAGTTGAGAGGAGAGATGTGAGGAGATGTGAGAAACTTAACCGAGAGTGAAGGGTGTTTATAACTATATAAGGCGCGGTACCTGCACCGCGCTATATGTAATTATTCAGATAAAAGGTATAGCGCGGACTAGGGTTCGCGCTAAATATAATTCGTACCAAGGTATAGCGCTGAGCAAGGACGGCGCTATACCCCTACATGACGTATAGCGCGGAACAGGGGGCGCGCTATACCCATGTTTAAGCCATGTCAGCGTATAACGCGGTACAGGGGACGCGCTATACCCCACGTGACGCCAAATCAGCATATAACACGGGGCAAGGAGCGCGCTTTACTGCTACGGGTATTAGATCGGGAAATATAATTTGATCAGTGTTAGATTAGTAAATATATCGATCATCGGTAATTTTTTGAGAAAAACGCCTCGATTGCCTTCGGGTTTCTTGCAGTTTCGAGAATATTCTGGTAATCACCCATTTTCACGAAAAATAATAAAATAAAAAGGCTGTAAGTAAATAGTACTCCAATTCTTCTGTGGACCTGTATTTTATATACAGGACTCTTGTTTAGTACCATTGAATTTGCACCTTTCATGAATCAGAACGTCCAAAATCCATGTAGCAAAGGGTTGTATGTTCTGGTATGCAATTATTTCCCTTGGGTTTATTACAATTAGGGATGGACATGGGTCAGGTTTCGATCAACTCGACCTGGCCCGAAAATTTTATATCCTTCACTCGACCTGACCCGAAAATATATACCCTCTACCCGATCCGAAACTGACATGATTTTTTTTTAGAGAAAATCCTAATCCGACCCGAAATAATAAAAAATATTATTTTTATTCAATAAAAATGGTGACTTAATTGAAAAAAATAATATATAGAGGGGTATTATTATAATTATTCCTAAATATATAAGGTAAAATTATATTTTTTCGGATTGAGTAGGATATTTTCACTCTAAACCAAATCTAACCCAAACCTAAATTCTTTTTAAAAATATTCGGCCCGATCAAATTTAAACCCGTCGTGTTGGTGTCCATGCCCATCCCTAATTACAATCTCTGTACCTATATTAATATATGCTCTCTTGCCTTATGGGCTTGCTCCATACTTGAAGTATTTACAACCATTGCTCTATAAGGGTGTTGGGCCCTTTAAATTTTTTGATAAACTACGTCACTCTATTATTAGTGAAGATAAATAAACTTGGTAAGCCACTTAAGTGATAAACTATACATTTAGTACCTAAATTATTAGTCTTTGGCCGTTTTAGTATATAAACTTTTAATTTTTTTAAAAATCATACCTAAAGTTTAGATTTTATTTTATTTTTATAGTCCACTGTTAAAAACATAACGCGTTTAGCACATAAACTATCAGTTTTTGTCCGTTTTAATACCAAAAGTTTCCAAAAAATCAAAATTTAATTTTAAATTTTGAATGGAGGTTCTAAAATGAAATAAAAACTAAAAATTTTAACGACATGGTATTAAAAAAACAAAACTTTAAGTATGATTTTAAAAAACTAAAGTTGATAGGTACTAAACTCGTAATTTACCTGAAAGAGTATTAATCTTTGTAGAAGTGTAGAGCTGTCAAGTTCAAGCATTTATATTTTGAGAGATCTCATGTCATATTTCTTTAAAATTATAATTAAATTATTTAACTAAGTTTCTGCTTATGTTTTTTTTAGGAGTAAACTACCTATTTGGTCACTCACCTATAGCTTATTTTTTAATTTAAACACTTTATATTTAACATTTTTTTATATTTTGGTCATTTTATTAAAAATAAAATCTTAGATATATTGCAAAAACTTTTAATAAAATTTAACCACAAACAATTGCATTTCCTGATTTGATAGTCTTGTAAGATTGTGTAATCCAACCCCAAGTCTATTATTTGATTAGGACAACGTCATCAACTCTCCTCATTGTTATAATGATTACCTTCAAAGTACTCATAAGTTCTTCAGTAGTACTAAACCCAGATGGTACACAAACCCTCAATGAGATCTCAGTTTTTGCCCCCTCTTCCATACGCAATCCCAAAGGGAATCCTTGTAAAGTCAAAAGAGGTAGAAAATCAATATGATCGTTATATTATTTTTTTTCTCTAATATGGGCTCCAACTTAGAAAATAAATTCAATATTATCATTTGATCAATGTTTTTTTTTGTTATTGACCGTTACGATGCGTATGTGACAGCTTACGATACTAATATGTCAATCTACGATGCTAACATGACAGTCTAAGATGACATCTAGCACAGATTGACTGAATTGTTAATTCAAATATGATAGATGTATTATCACTTAGCATCGTGGACCGTCACGTCAGAAGGTCAACTGGTATGCCAGTATCGTAATGATAAAAAACGTTAGTAAAATGATTAAATTGGATTTATTTTATGAGTTTTAAGGCTACGTTGAGATAAAAAATAATATGAAGTTCATGTTAATTTTATTCAAAAGTAGAGGACCTCTTATTACCTTTTATTTTTCCTGCTATTTACAACCTGTAATGGAATGATGGCGACCTCACAGAAGAAGAAGATGAGATGGTGCATTGTTTAATAACTTGACAGGCTGCTTTCTGAAATGGGTTCCAGTTTTAAAGTCGAAGAAGCCCTACGAACCTGGACAGAACAGGCTCCTGACCACACCCATCGTGTGGCTTGGATGCTGCTGCACGCAGTGGCTCGATGAAGGTGGCACCTGAACGAACCGGCGTGGCTCGTTGGTGAGCATATGCACGAACATGTCTTGGTTTTGTTCATCGCATGCTGCTATTTTGGTGGCCTGGGAGTGAAAGCTTTTATTTCATCATCAGTACCCCCAACGTGAAAGAGAAATCACTTTCTTCTCTGCACTGTTTATTTATTTTGTACAATCCGCAATTAGTTCATGTCAGTCATGATAAGGCTGCAATCTTCTGAATTTGGCAACGATAACAGAAACAAGTTAATGCACAATTAACCATTCATATATTAATCAAACGGATTGTCTTACAAAGAAAAAAAATCTTCTTAACAAGAAGGTTTTGCCAGTGAACAATAATGAGTAATTAATATAACAACAATCATTATGATATTTATCATCTTAACCCCATTAAAACCCTTTAGAAATTAGAACACAAAGGGAAGGGAAAGATCAAAAGAACTATATTTACGTAAAATCCTCCAGTATAATCAACTTGGCACCAAACAGCATGAGAACAAGCTCAACCCTTTTTTCTGCATCAAAACAAAGGCAAGATGATTAATAATTGCATAAGAAAGTAGAAAAAAATCATTACAGACACGAGGAACAGTGGAGGAGACTGTAAAAGCTTTTAAGTTAAAAGTTAATGGAGGAGTGGAGCCGACCTTTTTGGTTTTGGTGTAAAGTAGGTCAGGCGAGAATTTGTAAAGGTCTTCATCAACGGGTTTTGGAGTTGGCTTGGAAATGGGAATGGGGCTCGCTGCCGGTGCCGGTTGTTTCACGTCACTGACCTCCCAGTCTTGCTTTTTGCCGTCTTTAACATGCGACTGTCTTACTTTTGTCTGTAAACATACTTATTAATGAGTGCTTAATACTAATTGTTTATTAATATCATCATCATCACCATCATCAGAAGTTTTTTGAATTTCAGCACCACACCAGCTAAAGTGATATAGAAAGGAAACTAGGCACTAAAGAAGATTTTTTGCTTCCTTTTTGTTAAAGAAAACTCGACTTTAAAGGTCTCTAATGGTGGCTTTGCTTTGTTAGGCTACTTTCAAGAAAAATAGTGTTATCTTAACGAAAAGTAAGCACACCGTTCTAATGGCGTGAACAATTCAATGGCAAAAGACTGAATATGTTTATGAAATAAAACCATGCTGAAACCTGTATTCTACTGGAAAGAGATCAGTTCTGGCAAATGAAATAAGAAATTTAAGGTTGTTTAGTTCTTTGTTTGCTTACCCTTTGACGAGGAACGACAATCATGGCGGGAGTGACGACATCGTTCTCGTAAAGATCGCCGGCGACGTATAAATCACGATCCTCGGCGTAGCTATAACGGAGCAATCCGATTTGTCGAGCCGATTCGAAACACTGAGTAAAAGGAAGGTCATTGTTCCAATCCCAGCTACCAAAAGCAGGAACATGGTTCCTTCTGTAATAATTCTGAACACACAAACACAATCATCTCCATTAACCAACAACAGTGCCAAGTACAAAACCAAAACCAAAAATAGAACACACATGAAACACAATTTGAAAGCGTAGAAGGAAGAAAAGGGTAGACTCTACTTACATCCATACTGCCGGAGAGAAAATGTACCGGCGATTGACCTAAATTTTCAAAGGAGCCCTTTCAAAGAGAGGGTCGAAAAATTTGTTTCTCCTTTCGCTTGTTTCTTTCTTTAGGCGAGCGTGGGAAGTCCAGCAATTTAAAGGGTAGAAGGAAGGTAGGGTAAAAAGTTGGGGTATGGGGCGGATCCAAAGCAGTGAAATTTTTTCTCTGGTAAAAGAAAAAAAAAAGTAACCCAAATACCGATGTTTCACCGTAGGAGGACCGACAAACAGGTAAGGGTAGTAAAACAGGGTTAGTGTGCTTTTGATCAAATGTATATTCCGGTGTTTTGAATCTTTTGATTTTACTTTCGTTCATCTTTTCGCTGTGATGCTCAAGCGGAGGCTATGGATTGGCCTTCGGGTTTAGGGTTCTTAAACGGTTAAACCCCACACGGGTAGTGGGGAACAGAGGTGGTTTGATGAAAAGTGGTTAATGACGATGAAGTCAGTAAAGGGTCAACACTCAACAGTTCACATTGGGTGTGTAATGGATCTGAGAGGCGTAACAGTGTTTTAAGGTTGAAAACTTGCAGAAGACAAAGTTGCAGTGAGTGAATAAGATAACAGAATAAATTTTATCTTTTTATTTTGGCAGGGAAGCAGTTCATTTGACAACGAAATGTGCAATTGTGCACACAATCTCTGTCCTTTTGCTTTAATTTATTAACACTTTAATAGTAACTTTTGATATTTTTACATTCAGTGAATTTTTTTTTACCCATCAGTAATACTTCAACTCTCCAACTCCAATAAATTATACATATACTATTACTCTTATTTATGATTCTTTATATAATTAATCATTAAATTTATCACTAGAATTGTATTTTTAATATATGTAAAATTTTCAATATTATATTAATATTTTTTTTATTTTATAGATTTTAAAAAGTCAATGAAATTCAAATTTAAATACAAGAAAATGAAATAGCTTAAAAGAAAAATGGGTATGGTACGAGGTGGAGTATTTTGTTGTCAATTGCCATAGAGATTCTAGGCGTGTCCTTAGCCAGATCCCTGTTCACCAAAAAAATAATAGCATATTCGGTTCGGTTCGGTTTAATTTTTTATTAAAATATAATTCAAATCATATTTTATGAGTTTTTAAAAATTAATATTGAAATCGAATAGCATAAAAATCACCGTTTTTTATTTGATTCGATTTGATTTTACGATTTTTGACTCCTCACTATATTTCAAACTCAATCTCAAAAATGAAATTAAATTTAAAGTATAAATCGAGTACAATTATATAAATTTAAATTTTAAAAAATATTATTAATTTTAATATTTTATTTATTTAAAATCTTCTTATAATAAATTTAAAATAAACTTATTTTTGATATTTTTTTTAATTTTATTTAATCCGATTAAATTCAAACGATTTCTATATGAAAAATAAAAACCTAACCGAATTATATTTATGTATTTAAACCTTTTTTTTATTTTATCGGTTTCATTATCCAGCCCTAATGCGTTGCAGTGGAACATAAATCCAATTTTTTTAATTAGAAATTATTTTCTGTCTATTTTTTAGAATTAATAAATGTAAGTTATCTCATCCTAATTTCAACTAAATCTTTATTTATTTAGATATATTGTGCATAAAAACATAACAATATTCCAGATAATCAACTCCCAGATTAATTTCTTATTTGTTCCCTATATTCTATCCTTAAATAATTTGCCAATAACATGAACTAACTTGCCTCGGTGGTTAAAGGAATTATTATTATTCTTAAGATCACGGGTTCAAACACCAACGATCACAGTGGAATGATTGGACATTCATTGTCAAGTAATTTTTATAAATTTATGTTCTTTTTAATTAAATTCTTTAATTTTTTAGATAAATAGACAATACATCTTTTATAATTATGTGACTTCGAACCTCGACATTTGTCTAGAAAATATAATACCTCTTAATTTAATAAAAAAATTAATATTGATGCAAATGAAAGCAGATATTTTAATTGTTAATATCACACACTTTTATGCTTGGATCATGGATAGATATTTGAATTTCGTTAAATTTAGTGTTTTTAAAGAGTTTTTTTTATTGATTTTTAATTAATGTGCCATATTAAAATGTGCAACTACATTTGACCATCAAAGTTAGATAAAAATTATTTTAATGGTTGTAAAATAATAAATTTATTATCCTAATAATTATATTTATTTATAATCTTGTTGAACTAATAATAGTTACTAGTTTTATTAAGAGTTAATTGCACTAAACGTTCTATATATACGACTCTCATTTTAAATTGACCCTTAAACTTTTAAACATTCTAAATTCATCCCTAAACTTTGATCATCATTTTAAATTATTAGTTTTGATCTATTTTAGTACCTAAACTTTCAATCTTTTTGGAAACAATATCTAATCTTTAGATTTCATTTTATTTTAGTACCCATCGTTACAAATTAACACATTTAGTACCTAAACTTTCAACTTTTTCAAAACCTAACGTTAAATTTTGAACGGGGTACTAAAATGAAATAAAAACTTAATTTTTTAAATACGGGATAATAAAATGAAATAAAAACTAAATTCTAGATATGGTTTTAAAAAAATTAAAAATTGAAGTACTGAACCGAACTAAAACTAATAATTTATATACATAATTTATCCAAAAATTAAAGTAGATTAATGACATCAATCAATTATTTCTCCTAAAATTATTAGAGTTTAAAACCAACAATTACAGAGTAAAATAAGATCATACAATAGATTATTAAAAAGAGAAAATAACCTCAGTGACCGAAAATGCCTTATAATATACGATTTTAACCAATTTTTTTTGGATTTGCCAAAATGACCAACAAAATCGCAACGCGATCTCTAATTTTTCAACTCAGTTTCCAAATTCGCAACGCGAATATCCAGATTCGCAATACGATTTTGAAAAATGTGTTGCGATAGTTAAAATGTGTTGCAATAGTTAAAATGTGTTACGAGAGTTTGAAAAACGTGTTGTTGCGATAGTGAAAAAGTGTTGCGATAGTGAAAAATCCAAAATAAGTTTACATTTTAACTATTCCAAATTCACGTTGAGTTTAAAACAATAAAGAATGTGTTGTGATAGTGTAAAAGATTCCCAAGTCATTTGTAAGATCTTAGTTTGAAACAATAAAGAATGTGTTGCGATAGTGTAAAAGATTTCGAAGTGTTGGTAATGTTCAATCCCACATAGTATTGGAAACACTATTGGGAATGGGTATTTAAGACTTGGATTTCCCACTTCCTTGTTGAGTGGAAGAGAACAAGGGGGACTCTCGCGCATCGCCGCCGCCGCCGTCCCGTCGCTTCTCGGGTCGTGGTCGTGGTAATATGTGTCTTCGACACGTCCGCGCGCATACTATCTTTATAGAGAAAATTCTTAAGAAACAAATGCAATACCACCAGTCGTTGCGATTTTAGAAAATCGCAATGCGAACTTGAACTATCGCAACGAATTTGGAAAATCGTAATGCGAACTTCGACTATCGCAATGCGAACTTCGACTATCGCAACGCGAACTTGGACTATCGCAACGTGAACTTGGACTATCGCAACGAATTTGGACTAACGTAAATTTGAAAAATCGCAACGAATTTAAAAAATCACAACGCGAACTTGGACTATCGATATTTGGAAACTGAGTTGAAAAATTAAAGTTCGCGTTGCGAATTTAAGATCGTATTACGATTTTGTTGGTCATTTTGACAAATCCAAAAAAATAGTTAACATAGTATATTATAAGGTATTTTCGGTTACTGAAATTATTTTCTATATTAAAAATTTAATCAAACTACTTGAAGAAATGATATATAGAAGCCAACACCTTTGTCAGCAGTACTATTAAAAAAAGGACTTTGTCAGCATTGAATAATATACATCATCAATATTTAATATAAAAATACAAATGATTATATTTTTTAAAAATGATAATTATAATAAGGTATAAATAACAGCCACTGATAATTAATAAATAAAATAATGTAAAAGTATTGATAAACTTTAAGCTTTAGCTTCTTAACTGTTACTCCGTTAATATTTTTATATAAAAATTCACATCAAATCAAACGTCGTTAGTATGCTTCGTTCCCTTGTTCGTGACTTGAAATCCTAGCTGCTAGTAAGACCGGTACGAGTACCTAGTGAGACCAACCTCTAAGTTAGGGGAGGCGAACCAATCCCTAAAAAAATACCAGCTACCGGCCACTGGTCCTCATCTGCCGCCGCCGCATCATCGGTGAAACCAAAGGCATAAGTGGCGGCGCATGAAGGCGGAGTTATCTGTCACTCTCACACGTACACACAGAAGGAAGTTATGGAATTAAAGCGGAAGTTCACACCCAGTTCCAAGTTGTCTTGAACCGAAACAAAGCTAGCAAATTGTCACTTTCCCACGCATGCATATGGATATGTACACGAGTCTCAAGATTTTATATTAACCGAATAAATTTGAATTTTTAAAATTTCAGTAGACGAATTTAAATTTATAAATTTTTAACGGAACAAAAGTAGATTTTTAATAAAAAAATATAATTAATTTTAAAATTTTAGGACGTCCACTCATCCCTTCAATCCATCCCTACATGCATTCACCCACTTGATTGCGGTCCATATATATATATATATATACTGATGATTTTGTGATCAGAAAAACCCTAACTCTTCTCTTATTGAATGAAACTTAAGATTTCAGATGTATTAAGTGACAACATTCTTGCTGCATGCAGTGATCATCAAACTTGCCCTTCTTTTCTTCTTCTTCTTTCATGATCAGCAGAAACAATGTTTTTTTTGTTTGAACGGTCAAACATCTTTATGGTGGGTTGAAATTTGGATTATAGTTAATGGGGACATATTTGAGTTATCTTCGAGTATTGTAGGGCATTCAAAGTTATAATTACTGGGGTTAAAAGAATTCAAATATCAACTAATTAAAAACTTAACCTTAAGGTGAAGAATGTAAAATACTAACTCGAACTTTTGATTCTTTCAAACACTAATATTAGAAAAAACCACAACAATAAAAATTGTAATAAATACAATTTTTTTTCTAGAAAAGACTCTTGTTCATCTAACTTTTTTTAGCATAATAACAGTTTTAAGCTTTTTTCCATTAATCCGAGGCAAGCACTAAGCAATATCTGCTTAAATATAACTCTTCAGCTTTTAAGATTGAAGGCTCACATTCTTCTTGGTATTTATGATGCCCGAACTCGGGTCCTCAAGGAATAGTAACGATTCCTTTACCACGAAGACCACTTGATTCGTATAAATTCTTTTAGTTTAAATATTAGTGAACCGCTTAATAGAATAGGTACATCCAGTATCTTATTCAAATTTCATTAACAAGTTGTTCAACGCAAAGGTATGAATATGATCGTTTACAAGATTGGTTGCACCTATATCTAATATGACGACCTACAAGTTTAAGAAATGACAGAGGGGATCTACAAGTTTTACACTACATAGATTCAGAGAAAGCCACAAGTTCATGATCCAGAATGCTAAAACAAGCTAGTTCAGAAAGCTTCTCGGGACTTCTTGCAAGGCTAGAGAATAAGCATGTGGCATTGCCACACATCTGGTAGATAACCAAAAGATCACTAATTTTGAAAGGCTTTAACAACCTTCCCAAAGCCAGTAAAAATCATAGGAAAAAACATAAAATTAAACTTATCTTGGGAGACAAGTCTGCTTCTGCTAGTTCAAAAACCTTGGGAGGAATATACCCCCATCCCATAACCATGATCTACACAATGTCATAAACACCTGTATAACATATTCTTTGATTCCATTGAGGATTAGACTTGAATATATCAATGCAAGTATATGTCCCTTAACGGAAGTTCAAACAAAAAACAACTAAATACCGATGTGCACAGCTCACCAATGCTTAAGCTTCCCTCCTTTTTAACACATTACGCAAATTTTATTAGATTAAAAAGCTCATACTACAGCAATACTTGATATTGAACAGGGGCAACTCAAGATTAAAGAATAATCAACAAAACAACTGAAACACAACATTCAAGCATACAAGGCAGATCACATGACTCAATAAACTTTTATTATTGAACTTTGTCTCATGATTGATTCATGATGGTGTTCTTGTCCCATCAATCTAATTCTTTTTACAACAAGAGAGACTCAATTTAATAACCATGCTTATATTCAAAATACAAATGAAAATTTTAACATATGAATTAAATTTAAAAGATTTTATCACCTGAAATAGCCAACTAAATGCTCCCTTCTCCATTTTATCTTCCATATGATAAACTAACCATGAAGGTCATCGACAAATTAACTTTCCAATCTTCCACTTTCACTTCCTTGGCTAGCCTTGTGTGGTCAGGAGCCAGCTGGACTCGACATGTCGACGACTCTGCACTATATAGAACAAAGAAAAAAATGCAAGCAAATCACACAGGATGGAGACGTAAAGACCGTCTACAGCAGACATTCCGACCAAAATTTACAATGTTGGAGGGCGAGGCCCAGAATACACTTCAAGTTCAAGGCCAAACTGATCAAGCTATTGAATAACTTCCTTTGCCTTTCCTCCCAAATCCTTCTTGATCAAATTTATATCCAAGTTTCGCACGTGAATTCTACAATTTGTACAAGAATAATAATAAATTAAGCTATTAAGTAAAATTATATTTCAAAAATCATTAATCAGATAATAGGATTCGTAAAAATGAACCTTTTCGATTGATTTAGCTAATAAATTTCCATCTCGAATCAAATCACCGGATTCCCGAATTGCCGTGCAATCCCTCGGCGTTTCGAACAAAGACAATGAAAGCTGCTTAAAAATGACACCGACGTCGAAATAAATGACACCCGAGCTAGGAACATCGACCCGAATCCCTTTGACTGGGAACCAGAGAAACAACTCTTGAGACGAAATTCCCGATAAGGCCCCGATCTGGCCACAACTCAAAGTCCCCGACACGTTCCTATCATAATGCAGCTCGCTTTCAAACTTAGCATTGCACGCCTGATCCAACTGAACCTCGAACCGACCCGTATCGTCGAAGTCGAATCGGGTTATCCCTTTCGGAAGCAACCCCATTGGTAGCCCATGGGCCTTTAGGATATCGTAGATAGAATCCTGCTCGCCGTTGACAAGCGCGAGGATGAGAATAAAGTGAAGAATTGTGGATGGAATTAAAGGAATCATTTTGTTTTTCTTAGGAATTCGGTGTTAGAACATGGAGATTGGAGGATTTACAAGAGAAAGGGGAAATTAGGGTTAGGGTTTAATGGAAAGTATAGTTGGGGGAAAATGATGAGAAAAGCGAATGAGAGAAGTAGGAGACAAGTGTTTGCCAGCTTGGATACAGAGAGGTTGAGGAGAATGATCAATTATGAGTGGGTCCAATCAATCTCCGTTATCCTCTCCGCTTGGAATTTTTCTTTAATGTATGACTAAACCAGTAGCCTACTGCCACGTAGATAGAAAATTGGCGTAATTGTAACTTCATAAGACTCCCGGGGTGGATTTTGTGTTTTTCTTCATGCCCGACATTGTACACGCGCTTCTACGGAGCGTGGAGTTAAGGCAGTTGCTACGCTTGCCATCATGCCGATTCTTAACTGGTAAGAAGCTGGTTTATTATGGGATGCTAAGGAACACCACTTGGACCTTTAAAAAAAATTATAAATTATAGCCAATTGGATGAATTATAAAATTTTAAGAATAATAAAATTATATTATTAATAAAAATATAAAAGAATCGTTAAATTATATAAAAATTTAAGAATTTAAGACTTATCCTTCGCCTTCTCTTAATTTTTATTAAGGATATATTTAAATTGTATTATTTTATCGGTTAAAATTTATGTAAAAATGTAATTGAGTTATAATACATAATTTTTTTTATAAAGGAATCAATTATTTTTATTATTAAAATAGAGTACTTATAAGTGATACTATACGCTCTAAAGACTCTTAATTATTTAATAATCAGCGTTTAAATATTTTGTACAGTCTACGGTACTTAAATCTAAGATCTCTAAAAATAATAATTATTCCTTTAACCACTAAAATAACTTGATTCGTGTAAAATTAATTATTCAAACATCAAACCAAATATATAATTATTATATTCTTAACCAAGGTAATATTTAACTTTAAGTTATAGATTAAATTAATTTTTTCTCACTGCATTTAAGAATGATTCACATAATTAAATCCTCAGTTATATAAAATGTCTAATATGATACTTATTTTTTTAAATATCTATTATTATTCATAAACATTTCTTGAAATAGTTTGGAGTTATTATAAAATAATATACATTCATAATCTTTTTTTAATAATTGACAATGCACATATCTTATAGATAAAATTACTCGAATTCATAATTTTAAGGAATAATAACACTTTCTTCAATCACCTAAATCGATTAATGAATTTATATTAATATGATACTTGACCTAAAATATGTAAATGTTGTATTTGAACTCTCATTTTATGGGTTATTGTGATTTATGGTGACTGAAAAATAGCTTCATACTATTAATGAGGTTTGCTCATGTGGTAAGTAACTTGATATCGTTTAAGTAAGATATCAGGTTTGAGTCCTTGTGTATGCAGAAAATTTCTGCTGATAAACTCACCCGCCAAAACTAAATGTACGACTCGGGTCGATCTAGATTAGTCAATACGAAACATTGGAACTGCAGCGAACTCACATTGAAATTATACCTAATTTTAACTGTTAGGCACCGGCTTCGGGACCGTACAAGCTCCGATCCGATTAACCGAATCGTATTGTTGAAAACAAAAGCACTATAAACTGTTCACTCAACTGAACCTTTCTCCGAGTCTCCATCTCCCCCCCCCCCTCCAATGGCGACGACGAGGAATATGTGTTGGTAAGGAATTCGAGGGGTCGTATCTTGAACAAGAGCATCATTCCAGGCTTGGGTGTCAGGTCGTGCTTACGCCTCAGCTCCAACGTATGGTCGTCGCCGTCCCCGAGCCTAAGCCCTGGGATATTCCATAAAAGTTTGTAGAATGAAAGAGAAACGTGGGAGCTTTTAATGTATTTCTGTTGTTTTAATGGCTGTCCCTTTTTCCCATATATATGGGATAAAGGGGAGGTAAGATAGTAGGCTACCCCCAACACCAGGTTGAGAGCAGCTTCCGTAAGAGACCTCCGAATTATGAAATGCCCTCCGTGGGACTCGATCCCACGACCTCAAGGTTAAGAACCTTGTGCTCTACCAACTGAGCTAGATGGTCATTTCTATTTCTGTTGTTTTAATGGGAGTAATAATAATTTGGGTACTTTGAAAGAACAGGATTGTATTCCATGTAATCTGGGTGCGTTCGAATTTAAATGCAACTTATTCTACGGATTTTGGTGTTATTTCTGGATTTCTCCTATTATGTCCATTAGATTGCTGCAAATTATAGTAAACTAATGTAAATGTTTCTAAAATCATATGAAAAATGCATTTAGTCTTAGTGGTTTTTTCAAGTGATTAAAGCTTGCTGCTACTAGGTGTAATGGGAACGGAAGCTATCATGCAACCGTAAGCATTGTGATATTTCCTTCCCTTTTTAGCCTTTACCTGGTTTGAAAATAAAAATGGTTGCAGCCTTCTACTTAAATTGACCTTGTTCCCTGGATGAAGGTGAGCTTTGCTCCTAGGTAGCTGGTTTGGTTTTTATCAGAGATGCTAGATAGAATTGAGTGAAGGACTGGAGGTGGTGCAACTATACGAGCCCTTCTGGATTGAAATTTCAGGAAACCGTGACTGAATTCAAATGAATGAGAGATTATTGTAGGTGGTGCAGCATGATTGTTTCTTTCGAGGGTGTCTGGTTTTGTTAATCTGAGGCATCAAAGATGTTAGATGGAAACTTTTGGTTCTTTTTGGTGAGTGTTTCTTCCTCAGAGCTTGTTAATGCATAACTGATTATTAGGTGATACAAGTAGTTTAACATGGTTCGGTTTTTATGAGGAAAAGGAGTGTTCGATGACTCCGTTCACGGAATGAGTTGGATAAATACAACATCAGAATGCTGAATTTATGACTTATCTGGCTAGTCCATAATCATGTCAGAAATTGGATTTTCATTTCTAATGACGGGGTATTGGATTTCTCATCAATACTGGAGATAACCTATGTGACAAGAGAACAGGGTAGGCTTCAAATATTACAGGTTGCAGACAAATGAAGTTCCTCCATAAGTTGAATTTCTCGTGCATTCCAAGCTAAATGCCGGCTTTTAGATACTCCTTCGAGTTCCATAAACTTCCTAGTATGTAATTTCTTGATAGAATCACAGGTTTTCAGTCTGTCTCAAGAAATACTCTTAGAGAAACAGAAAAGAAAACTTTTAACTGTACTTTTGAGTATCAGGATGGAGAACATAGTTGCAAAAGTATGTATTCTGCTTCTGCAAAGCTCTGTTACATGGTAAAAATTGCAGAATCCACTTTATTGTACATGAGAACCACATCTCTTCATCTCAATAAATTCAGTAATTTTCTTTGTCGTATAGATTATTAGTTGCATGGCATATTCACCTCATGAAGTTCCTGTGTGCAAATTACTATCTGATTGAGATGGTCAGGCTTATGGTCCTCCATAGAACATTTGGAATAGGCTGAACAAGTCCCTTCGTGATGGGAGAAATACAAGAAGACAGAGGAGTGGTCATTGCAGCCTGGATCCTTTGTACCTAGGTGATTTCACTCGTTGAAAAATATCAGATACTGCTCTTCTGATACTGAACATTCATGACCAATTCAAGTTTTTCAAATATTATTAAAGTTACAATAGCGAGTAAATGATAGTAAAACAAGACAAAAACATGGAGGATTAAAGATAACTACTAACGTTTCATTTTGGTCACCTATAGTTAAAAAATTAATAAAATTATTGATATAATATTATTTTTAATATTTTTCAGTGATTATATGTCATTATATTACGATGACACATCAATATCAATGTTAATTTTAATGACGTGTGCCAAAATGGAATCAAAATATAATACTAATGATTATTTAAAACTAATAATTTGTTTACCAAAATGAATTATGTTAATAGTTAGGTGACTAAATACATAATTTATCCTAACAAATCATATGTAATACATTACTCTTTTTTTGCCCAAATAAATCAATTTTATTTGGGCCAGCCTTGTCAATCCACACCAAATTTGGGAATTTGGACCTCTATTTATTTCCAAAATTCCTACCTAATAACGGAGCACCAAAGCCTCATGAGCTAAAAATAAAAGGGTAAATTACAAGTTTAATATTTAAACTATCAATGTTAATCCATTTTAGTTCTTAAACTTTAAAGTTTTACAAAACTATATCTAAAGTTTACTTTTTATTTCATTTAGTACATGTCATTAAAAAGTTTACTTTTTATTTCATTTTAGTACATTTGTTCAAAATTTATTGTTAAGCTTTGAAACAATTGAAAATTTAGCTACTAAAACAGACTAAATTTGATAGTCTAGGTATTAAATGGTTTAATTTTTTAACGAAAATCTAAACTTTAACTATGATTTTAAAAAGTAAAAGTTTATATACTAAAACGGATCAAAACTGATAGTTTAAGTGCTAAATACGTAATTTACCCTAACAAAAATCCTAACCCTAATTCTCGATTTGTTTTATATAGTACACCTACGGCTCTTAATCTGTCATTCAGTTCTCACTTCTCAGCGGCGTCTCTATGTATCTCTGTAAAGTTTCTGATCCGCGATGGAGAAAGGCTATTTTACTCGAGTATCTTTGCCTTTTTCTTTTTAGAGAGAAATTTGCTAGATAATAATGGAAGGGTAAAGCAAGCCAGCTTCTTGGTTGGGTGTAGAAAGAAACGACCCACTCAATCAATTTATCGAATTGCTTGCGATATTTAAGGTCTCAGCCGGTATCACTCGCCTGAATCTGACTGTTTTTGGTGATTTTTCAGGCCCTTTTACTACCGGCACATTCCTTCCAACTCTTCTTTTTCCTCTCAAAGATGAAAAGAAGAAGCTCTGCAAACTCACTCTGTCCCTAAACTCGTTGTAAAGACGAATCTGTTTTGAGGCAATTTCTTCGTTTGCTGTAATTTCAATTTCCAACTCAATCGCTCGATTTGATCCTTCTTTACTGATCATATCAGGCTTGTGGTTGGAATACATCTCTCATTTCCACCCTTTCATTGTTTTTAAAGTTTCAACTTAGATCTTAACACCTGTTTTTTAAACTTAAAAGCAGATGTATATATCAAATTGATTGAACACCATCATTCGAATCATTGTACAATTTCGATTAAAATTCAATTGTTTGGTGATGAAAATGATGGTTGGAGATGATCGACAACGATTTAAGTTATGAAATTGAAAATTATGAATGTAAATATTAAATATTTTAGATTTAGAGAATTTGGTAATGGTCGGTGACGGATGAATAATCATTTGACGATGATGTTGGTGGTCGAAAATGGTCAATAACTATTGTTAATGGTCGAAGATGGCTGGTAGGTAGGGAGGGATTGAGTGGGGTTGAATTTTTTATTTTTATTTTTTTTAATTAAAAATAATATTTTTATTATTAAAAAATAAAAAAAATAAACGGTAGGTACTTAAAAATATAATGAGAAAATGTTATACACTTATTGAATCTAATATATAAGATTTTATGATTAAACCAAAAATTGATAAATCAATTTTTTTTTAAAAATATAATAAATAAAATAAGTGAGTAAAAATTTGTATGTTATCCTCTATATAGTTTAAAAGACTAAAATCATTGAATGAAATTGATAAATTATAAGAATATAAATATTAATTGTTAAATAATTAAATTTTTTAAAACATGTGTTATTTTGTATTCACCTCATATTTATATATAAAAAAATTCATCATTGAAATCAATGACAACTCTATTTAAACACTAAAAACGATAAAAGTATTTGAACTTTCGTTATTAAATAGTTAAAAATATTTAAAATAAATATTATCTTGTAATTATCTTAAATTAGTTAACAAATTTTGAAGTGCTTACTTCTTCTTAGGAATGGGGATAAGACCGGAACCTGATACGTTCTGACTAGATATGAACGAGTTGTGTTTGTCGTGTTTTTTTTATAAACAAAATTAGGTTAGAGTTGGGTCGTGTCCAGTTAGAATTTAGGGTGTAAAATATCTGACCCGAGTAGACCTGAAAAAGAATATAATTTTACTTTATATATTTATGAATAATTACAATAATAACTCTCAATATATTATTTTGTTTTCAATTAAATCTTTATTTTTGTTGAATAAAAATATTTTTTTAATAAATATATTATTTCGAGTCGGATCAGATGAAGTTTGAATTTTATCTCAACAAGTTGGGTCGAATTTAAATCGAACGGAGGGTGTAAAATTTTCAGATCAAACCGTGTGAAGAATATATAATTTTCAGACCAGAATGACCGAAATCCGACGCAAACCCAACCCGTACCATCCCCAGTTCCTCCAATTCATTAACATTCTGAAACTCCTAAAAAGAAATAGAGTAAACTAGACAAATAGATCCTGGACGATGAATTTTAAATATGTAAATAATTAATTCATTATTTTATAATTGTTAATAATTAAAAAATAAAACAAAACAATATCTATAATAAGGAATCATTTGTGTATTTTACCCGGAAAAAAAATAACAATTAACCAAACAACGTACCAAAATTTAACTAAAACAATAACATACCAACGAAAATCAATCCAAAATAGCCTCTTATCGCGTTGTTTCTGCATAACCATGATTTTGAGGCAAAAACAATGCGATCTAACTTTGAAACGTAGAAATTTTAAATAATTTGATAGAATAAAATAAAAATCAAAGAACCTTTCAGTTACATTCTAAATAATGATTTTGAGGATGTGATACAATATTAATTATAATTTTTGTCACGTCATATTATTGCATGACACACATCATTGTTTACAAAAAAGTTAATAATTTTTTAATAGTTTGAGGACATAATTAGCAAATATTGATAATTTAGGTATAAAATTAAAATATCTAAAAGTTTACAGATCAATTTAAAATAAAAATTATAGTTTAAAGGTACAATTAGAATATTAAAAAGTTTCAGGATCAATTTAAAATGAAAATTTTAATTTAATGTGAAATTAAAATAATAATAAAATTTAAAAATAATTTAAATTACTAATAAAATCATTATATATATATATATATAATGATTTTTATTAGTATTTTTTTTAAGTACCGATAAAAGCAAAAGTACCTAACTATTTTAGAGCAGAATCTCTCCAGAGTCCAGAAATAGCTCCCGAGTTAACTCGCTCTCCGCACCGAATCCAATCCTTTTGAACTCAAATCTCCTCTTTTGTACTTTCACTTCAAAACCAAAACGTCTACTTTTGAAGTTCGAGTCTAAAGTTCTTCTCTTCGTACTTCCCTGCTCTGGATTCTAACTTGGATCTTCAATCCAGTAAGTGAAATTTAATTAAAAACCTTAGAATTAAGCATCTGATAATTTTTTTTTTATTTTTAAAAAAAAAAATCATCAGTGGATGAAAATCCTTTCGTTGAAGAAGCTGAAACTGAAGCGACACATAATTCCAACGGAGAAGAGTTTGTTACAACTGGAGGAGCTCCCGATGAGGAACCGTATGTGGGAATGGAATTCGAATCCGAAGAAGCAGCCAAAGTGTTCTACGATACCTACGCCACACGTGCGGGATTCATAATGCGTGTGGATGCGTTTCGCCGCTCAATGCGAGACGGTAAAGTCGTTTGGCGACGACTGGTCTGTAACAAGGAAGGTTTTCGAAAGATGAGACCCCGTAGAAGTGAAAATCGGAAGCCTAGAGCCATTACGAGAGAAGGCTGCAAAGCAATGATCGTGGTAAAGAAAGAAAAATCTGGGAAATGGGTGGTTACGAGGTTTGTTAAGGAGCATAATCATCAGCTTGTTCCTATTCCCATCAATGACCGGAGAAGCATGCTTTTGTCGCAAACGCCGGTATGTTTTTTCCCCTGAAAGAATTTGCTTTGCGTTGATAAGAAGTGGATTGTTAGTGAAATTAACTGGGTATATATTTACTACGAGATTAAGGGTTGATTTTCATAGCAGTGTAAAATTGAGTGGTGAATGCAAATATACTCTTGTCTTTTCAGGATAAATAAACTCAGTAGAATTGAACATTAGCTGATATAAGATTCCATTACTTTTGATAATCAAGCTACAAATACACTGAAGGGCAATGAATCAACATTATTGATTCTTACAAAAAGAACAATGTATCAGTTGGGACTTGGGAGGAAGTACTCGTTATCGAAAGAGTGACCCGTATGCCTACATGTCAATTATACTCCAATTTAATGTTTTGGAGCATTACCGTTGTTCTTTTCACATCTTCGTAAAAGTTAGAAGTAAGTCTGACTGTTGATCGACTTCAAAATTGGTCAATTCATGTTTGTAGGAGTGCGATTGGCATGTTGAAAATTCCTTGAGGTTTAAACTCTTAGGTAAATATGTAGCTTGATCAGGGAACGTTTTAGAATCCATTCGGGTTAAACTTTCAGAAGAGCTGTAGTACACACATATCACTAAGATTTTCAAGATTAGAACTGGCCTTTTTAGGACCGACCTAAAGATATTGTTCCATTATCCAGAACTAGATGAAAAACATGGAATGTCTAGAGCTAAATGGTACCTATGTCCGAAAAGTATCAGAGAGCTCTGCTTTATGAGTTATGGTTCTGGATTGTTATATTAGTGTTGTTTAATTTGTGTTTGTTTAGGAATAAGACTTATAGCTAAAAATTGAGCTTGAAGTTCAACAACCCTATGGATCTAAAAGCTTTCTTGATCTAATGGGCTCATTGTGGGAGATTTTATTGTTGAACAACTTGCTTGAGCATGGATTCCCTTCATTTGTTATTATAGAGGGAAGATAGGAGTTTTGTGTTGTTTTCATTTACCTGAGCCTGACCTCGAGCCGTTTATCATAGCTTGAAGTCACTTGCTAATTGCTATGTTTATGCAGTTTTATCTCGGATAGTTGCTTTCTCAATGAATGAAGATGAGCTGGAAATCAGCTTCTACTTCCGAGTCTTAATATGTAAAAACCTGTATATAGTTCGATTAACTCAAATTGCTTGAGTGATTTGCTAATTTTCTTGCTGATTGAGCTATGTTGGTTCATTCCAAATATCTGTGTGCTCCTCGATGCGGACTTGAGACCTGAAATGGTCAGACCAGCTGGTCCGTCTTCCTCGATGTTTCCATTTGATAGCCTTAAAATATTCATGATCCATTGACAAAGTGAACCATGTCAGTCTTCTTTTGTAATATCTCTTCCTTAATCCTTACAATATGCACATTCTAGGATGAGAAAGATGTAAAGATTCGAGAACTAACAGCTGAGTTACAACGAGAGCGGAAGCACTCTGCAGCAATTCAAGTGCAGCTTGGTATGGTATTAAGAGAAATGGAGGAGCATTCCAATCACCTATCGAGAAACATCGATGGTATCGTTCGAAGTGTAAGGGAAATTGAGTCAAAGCAATTGACACTTTCGTAGAGGTAACTGCACAATTTCTTTGACTTGCTGTCCGCGTACCAAATGGTGGCTTATGTCTAGGTTCTGTTTATTTTCTTTTGTTATTATTACCTATTTAAGTTAATGTTTAGTTTAGAAAGTCTTAGTTTCCACTTTTACCGTTTTACTAGGTATATCTTCCTTCTAATTTTTATCTTGAAGTGAATCGCCATGTACATTTCTACACGCTATCAAATATACTATGCTAGTTAACTTCTCCTCATTGTCGTTTTCTTAAACTTACTTGCACGAATTAATTGGAATATTGGATGAAAAATATTGTTTTTGAATATAATAATTAAGAAGTGAAAAGCTTAATTTTATGTTTTAGTAAAACTATTCGAGTATTATTGTAATTAAATTCGTCATGAAATCATATCATAGTCAAATAAAATGATTCTCATATATGATTATGGCATTAATCATAAAGGGGACGTAAATAGCAAGAGCAAGAAGCACAATGGCAATCAGTGCCCCGGACGCCCTCCATGCATGAACTCTCCGACGAGAGAGCGTTAGCCTCCCGATCCAACCTTGATTTGGATCACATCCACCATGGATCTGGTTAGGAATATGCATCCGAAATCCGAAGGCCACACCGAAAACAACAGCATGCATAGTCTCACCAGCCGGTAACGTCAATTTTTGCAGTCGCCTTCTTATATAGCAGATTTTGACATGGGTTTTTAGTGCCTTAGGTACCAGGCTCGATAAGGGGAAGCAGGCGAACACACCACTTCATTCACCACCAGCCACTTCGCATTGCTCGTGTCGGCGTCGCATTCAGAGCGGTTCTGGAAGCTGCGCTTGCTTTGATGCGCTAGGGATAACCGCTGCTACGGGGAATTTCCTGTTCGTATATTAGGACAACCGAAAGAAAACTAATATCCTGCCGCCTCAAGTCAACCGTTCGGGTTTGCCCGGGACACACTGGTAATCGGGTCAAGTTTAATGAACGGGTCAACTGATTCTGCGATAGGGACATACAGATTGACTATTCCATCATTACACACCACTTTACTTACGCCTGAATTAAACAATTAAAAACCTAAACTATATTCCATAAATTTCGAATTAATAATTTTTTTACATATTTTTGCTTATTATAAAAGAGATGACTGTGAAGGATGTCCCTAAACTATGACCCAAATTCTAAATTAGTCCCTAAACTTTAAAACACTCTATATTACTCCTCAAACTATAACCCACATTCTAAATTGAACCATTTATAGTCCTTCAACTGTCAATATTATTCTATTTTGTTCATTTCGTCAATGTGCCATAAACTCTACTGATTAAAAGAATTTAATTTATTTTTGAAGGTCATGAGAATTGAACTTGTGACCTTCAAAAATATTCTTATGACCTTCAAAAACGTGATAATTTTTTTAAAAGGCCATGAGTTCAATTCCCAAAACCTTAAAAAACATATTAAATTTTGTAAGTCACGAGTATAATTCTCAAAACCTTCAAAAACTAGTCGAGTTAACCGTATGTTGACGGAATGGTCAAAATAGAATGACATTGATAGTTTGAAGAATGATATAAAATGTTTTAAAGTTTAGGGATCAATTTAAAATAGGGTCATAGTTTAAGGGTTGATATAGGATAATTCAAAGTTCAGGGTCCAAATTAGAATATGGTCATAGTTTAGAGTCCTATTTGATTAAGTCGTTATAAAATTGTGAATTACTTTGTAAAAACGTAAGAGACTTATCTATTTCCAAAGTCGTTGAGCCTCTTTGATTTGTACTCCCATCTTTCTTGGAATGATAAGTCAAGAGTATGTTTGGATTACAACTGATGTGATTACAAACTTCATGAATTCAATGGATCCACCGGTCATTGAGTCAATGCAGGGGGTGGTGGGATTCAAGCCTCACATTCCGGCATCAACGGAGCTTCACAAATTCGCGATAAGGTGGAAGAGTCAAAACTTGAATGAAGACCAAAATTTGCAGGAAATATAATTAAACATCTATGGTGCATGGTCTTATGATATGGTTCAGGCTCTTGCAACCGCAGCAGAACACGTAATGACGCGACATCCCGGCCAGCCAAGAAACCAGATTGAATATGAACTTTACCGCCATCCGTTGCTCGAAAAGTGGTTTGGTATTTATTGATAAGATATTGCGGAGAAGATTCAAGGGAGTGAATAGAGGCTTTTAACTTACTAGTGGCAGGCTGATCCCGACGGAATTCGAAATTGGAAATGTATTCAAGGGAGAAAGAACAATTGGATACTGGAATCCTGAAAATGGAATTACTTCAATCATGAAGGAAGAAAACCATACTAAGATGGTTTCGACATCATCGAATAAGCTTGAAAGTGTTATTTGGCCTGGAGGAACTATGAACATTCCGAAAGGTCGGAATCTACATGGCAAGAGGCTGAGGATTGGAGTTCCAGTGAATAATGGATTCAGCAAATTAATTAACGTGATTCTTGATCCCCAAACAAACGAAATGACTGTAAATGGATTCTGTGTTGATGTGTTCAAGGAAGCCATTAAAGTTTTGGATTATGAAGCACATGATGAGTTTATACCGTTTGTTGATGCCAAGGGACAACTGGCAGGAACTTACGACGACCTTATCCGTCAGGTATATTATAAGGTATAAAGGTAAGGATGCTTTTCTAGAGTAAACATTCCTTCTGTAATTCGGAACTGCAGAGGAGAAGTTGTTGAGCAACCAGTCAAAGTTTGTTGTGATAATATGCGTGTTTGCGGTGCTTGTAATAACCTCAAGCTACACTGCAACTTTGGCTTACATGTTAACAGTTCGGTGGATTCAATTGAGCTCGAGAGAGAACTACGTCTGTTATCAGTTTCTGGTTCCAGGAGCTATTATTAGCAGAATAAAAATCGAAAATCCGGGGCAAGTCAATACCGATCTCCAGAAGAATAGCGCGATGCACTATGAAGGGGAAGTAAGAATGGTGGTTTGTCAGCCATTGTTGATGACATACAACATAAGATCAATGATTACATTCGTTTTCATTTGCGTCCAAAAAATTCATCCTTTCCATTAAATCACAAGTAAACATTGCATCGTGTATGTATTCCTATATCATAAAATATCAAGATTACACAAACTCACTGAAGGAACATAACATACGATTTGTACACAGTAGAAAATAAATTTAAAATTTTGGATCAAGTGTCTGAAAATAATTTTGAACTATGAAGTAGTGTTTTAACATAACCTATGGTACTGTTGAGGTAGAATTTGAAGTTGCCGATTGTCATGGCGCGACGTTTCTGATATAGGCATATGAGAAGAGCTGAAGTGGAAGACAAACCAGTAACGAGAAACAAACCCCCAAAGCTATGAAGGTTTAGCCTGCTTGGGTTGCTTGCTGAGTTCTGGTTTGTAAAGACTGAGTCAGTGTTGTTAAACCATTTATTTTCAATCATTTGCAGCTTTTCTTCCTCTCTTAGCCTCAGAATTGCACCTGATATGTCTTGTACAAGTGGGGAACCTTTTGGGAATACCTACGATCAATAAATATACAAACAAATCAGCACCCGCTGTTGCAAATCAAAATCATGGCTTTTGTAAATGAATCTTACAAATCCAAAACCGCCTGAGGTAGCCTTGGATTTAATCATGGTGTAATCTGCAGGGTACTTGGCAAGGAATAATTTAATGTATGGTATTTCATCAATAATGGCTGATACACCACCATTCTTACTTCCCCTTCGTAGTGCATCGTCATATTCTTCTGGAGATCGGTATTGTATTCGCTTCGGATTTTCGATTTTTATGCTTCTAATAATAGTTCCTGGAACCAGAAACTGATAACCGACAGAGTTATCTCTCGAGGACGATTGAATCCGCTCAACTGTTAACATGGAAGCCAAAGTTGCAGTGTAGCTTGAGGTTATTACAAGCACCGCAAACAACCATATTATTACAACAAACTTTGACAGGTTGCTCAACAACTTCTCCTCTGCAGTTCCGAATTATAGTAACAATGTTAGCGTACCTCAATGTATGCATAATGCACCAGATAATAAATTCAAGTTGAACATAGATAGAGAACTTACTGTAAGCAAATACTAGAGTTGAGAAAGAGTACCAAAAGATCATTCCTATCTGCTGGCGCTTTGAGCCTTGGAACTCGTCGTTGATGGGACTTTCGATCAGCCAGACCACAAAGCCAGTGAAAACAAAGAAAGCAGTAGTTGTTATCCACATACCTCCAGTAAGAGGCTGAAGGAAGATCCACATACTGCTTTTGTTGATTTTTGGCACCACGATTCCGATGCCAAAGTCAGTGAATGGCTGTGTGAAATCAACGTATGGAAATCTGTTGGCCATGATTGTTGTATCCCCCACAACAGCATCATAGTTCTACTCCATTGATCACAAGAAAGAATATAAAAACCACATTCAAGTACAATATAGTCCGAATTATCAGAAGGAATGTTTACTCTAGAAAAGCATTCTTACCTTATAATATACCTGACGGATAAGGTCGTCGTAAGTTCCTGCCAGTTGTCCATTGGCATCAACAAACGGGATAAACTCATAATGTACTTCATAATCCAAAACTTCAATGGCTTCCTTGAACACATCAACACAGAATCCACTTACAGTCATTTCGTTTGTTTGGGGATCACGAATCACGTTAATTAATTCGCTGAATCCATTATTCACTGGAACTCCAATCCTCAGCCTCTTGCCATGTAGATTCCGACCTTTTGGAATGTTCATAGTTCCTCCAGGCCAAATAACACTTTCAATCTTATTAGACGATGTCGAAACCATCTTAGTATGGTTTTCTTCCTTCATGATTGAAGTAATTCCATTTTCAAGATTCCAGTATCCAATTGTTCTTTCTCCCTTGAATACATTTACAATTTCGAATTCCTTTGGGATCAGCCTGCCACTAGTAAGTTGAATGCCTCTATTCACTCCATTGAATCTACTCCGTAATATCTCATCAATAAATACCATACCACTTTTCGAGCAACGGATGGTGGTGAAGTTCATATTCACTATGGTTTCTTGGTGTACGTAATCGGGATGTCGCGTCATTACGCGTTCTGCTGCTGCTGCAAGAGCCTGAACCATCTCATAAGACCATATACCATAAACGTTTAATTCCATTTCCTGCAAATTTTGGTCTTCATTCAAGTTTTTACTCTTCCACCTTATCGCGAATTTGCGAACCTCCTTCGATGCCGGAATGTGAGGCTTGAATCCCACTACCCCCTGCATTGACTCGATGACTGATGGATCCATTGAATTAATGAAGTTTGTAATCACATCAGTTGTAATCCAAGCATACCCTTGACTTATCATTCCAAGTCGTTTGGCGTTTAAGAAAAGTCGAGATGTGAGAATCGGTGACATGTGTACCACATATACACTCGTCTGCAAATCCATGAGCATCTTGAGCTGCTGAATGATTTCTTCGTCAGTAGATGTTGCTAAAAGGGAGAAATGCTGAGCAAGACGAACATTGGTCTCTTCAAAGGAAGTGATGACATTAGAAAGGATTTGTCTTGCAGAATCATTATCTTCATAGATGAGGACAACACTTCTCCATGTAAATGATTCAACAAGGGTGGCAATGATTTTGGCTCGAGTGGAATCATCTTCACCAATTTGAAGCAAATAAGGATACTCGGAGAAGGGCAGGGATGGAGCAGCTGCAAAGAGAGAAATAACTGGGATCTTGACTCTTGATCCCAACTCTGATAAAATCTTCAGTCCAGCTGAATTTTCAGCTACAATAAGGGCATCCAATTTCACACTTTCCAAGAGAACCAAGGCTGCACATTAGTAAGTCTATATTTCAGGACCCTTTCATAACAAAGAAAATAGTTTGCCATTCAAAGAGAAAACATACCATGGGATAGAAGAAGCAAAGGATCACCCTCAGAATCTCCGGTATGCAGAACTAGTTTCGTCCGGTAGTGACGATTTCGATCGTAAAAGTCGGATATAGCCATTGAAATGCAGCTATCTACAACTTTTCCCACCCAGGATTGCGTATCAATAATCAACCCTACGTGAACACTTATCTCTTCTATAGTACTAGCACTGATACCATCAACACTGGCTGACAATGGCTCAAGAACACTAAGCAAAAATAAAACTAAACCCAAGGTCCACTTCGTCTTTCTCGTGAAATCCATTGATCCAAAAACCAAACTTTGGTTTTCTTTTGATTAAACGTGAAAAGGAATAAATTACAATAGTTCTTGCTAAGAATCATATATGAATGTTGAGGTTGAAGTATATTTTCTTTTGGTTGACCGATAAATTTGAACCACATGTAAGTGGAAAAGGAAATTCCCGGAAGTAATGCTTTCAGAGTCAATTCATAGTTCATTTAATAGATTTTCCAGGAACCAAGAAAGATGGAGGCTAGCAAATCAAAGAGGCTCAACGACTTTGGAAATGCATACTATCTCTTGTGTTTTTACAAAGTAATTCACAAGTTTATAACGAGTTAATCGCATTGGAGGACTCTAAACTATGACCCTAATCTAATTTGGTCCCCAAATTTATGGAATATAGTTTGGTTTTTGTATCATTTAATTCAGGCGTAAGGAAAGTGTTGTGTAATGTTTGAATGGTCAAACTACGTCCCTGTCGCAGAATTAGTATTCTCTATAGCTGTGTCGAATTACTGTATATTTTCTCTACACGCGTCCAAGAATACGTGAGATTTATTAGTTGATCAGTTCATTAACCTTGACCCGATCACCGGTGTGACCCGGACAAACCCGAACGGTTGACTTGAGGCGGAGGGATATCATTTTTCTATCGGTTGACAAAATATAGATTGAATAAATAGAACAGGAAATTCCCCGAAGCAGATGTTTCACTTTCAGAGTCGAACTTCATCTGATAGACATGGGAAGATGGAGCAACGAGGCTCAAAGACTTTTCTTTCGGTGGATAAATTTCCCCTACTGAACTATTGATACGATAGTTTTCCTTTCATTTCTTCTACCGCTGGAAGTTTGAAAAGGTTTATTAAATCTAGAATCGTAGAGCCGTGTTTCAATTCTTCCATTGAACGTGAACGTGAATCGTTGTAGAGCGTTAGACAACCTAGTGAACGTGGACTCGCTCTTCACGTACGCCGGCATTCTTCATGGGCTTATCCCTCGCGCGTCAAGGCGAGCGTAGCCTCCAGAACAATGCGACGCCAAATCTAGAGGGTTACATTGGTCACTAAATTGATCTAAAAATTATTTAAAAAAAAAAAATTTGTTACCTTTCCGGATTCAAGGCTTGCCCCTGATTAATTCAAGCTGACTCGCGTTGCACGATTGATTTTAGGGGGTAAGTCTCATGACATAGATTTTCTGCATACAGTAATACTCATACCCGAAACATTGCTTAAACGATATCAATATGCTTACCACTTGAACCAATTTGATCCTTGAATTTCAAAAAATTTAAAGAATTATTATCACTTTATTAAAATAAATAAATTTTAAAAAATAATTTAAATGAGACTTTGATCATTGAGTTTCCGATTCGATCTTAACATCCTGATATATCTGAAAGAAGAAAATAAAGAGAAGGTGAGCTATAGAGCTTAGTGCGGTTAAATTGTGCAAATAAACAGAATATTCAGAAAATCAAACAAGCATAATCACAGTTCGAATCATAATATTCATGGTCTGAATAAATATGCAAATGTAAATACACCAGATCACCTTACATCATTCGAAGGTTCCCCAGAATCACTCTACTATACACCATCTGAAGTAGAGTCCACCTCGAAGAGAGAGTCATTGATTATCCGAAGTGAAATTTATCTCGAAGGGTGAATCCCTTGATATTCCGAAATGAAATTCATCCCAAAGGGTAAATTCAATGGTAATCTAAAATGAAGTTCATCCCAAAGGGTGAATCCACTAAACTTCCTCTATCATAAATACTCAACCCAATGTGATATGATAGCATAGTTTATCCGAATTTTGATATGATCTGAACGTAAAAAATACATATTCGCATAGTCCGAATACATAACATAAATTCTAAATATGATAAATCAACATGCATCACACACCATTTTTTTCTAATTGCATTTAATACAATCAATTTCATAGAAAATTCATGCTTTCAATTCAAATATTAATCAATCAATTAGCACAAAAATAATTATAACACCAGACAAAGACACGTAGAGATTCAAATACATCACCACAACATCGATCAAAATTTAATTATTCTAGATTAAACAAAAAACTATTAAACAAAATTAAACGACACATCTTAAATTTTGTATAACAACAAATATACTAATGAGGAAAGACTCTTGTGGTCAGAATCTTGAGTCGAAACGATTTTATAAAAACCAATTAAATTAATAGTCGAAGAATTTGAAACGGGGAGAAGATGAATTTATTTTCTCTGTATTTCGTGGGAACATATAGAGTTTAAGAAAAATAAAAGCACTTTATAGATTGATAAGATCAAAATTCAACTAAAATATAAATAAAATTATATTCGAATTTAAAATTTCCAGGATCGAACTGCATCTTAACAGCCTCTTCAGTTTATCCTGGTTCACTTAATTAAAAGAGTTCGAATGTAGAATAGTGTATACAAATCTTCAATACCTCGCGAGTAGTATTTTTCTTTATCAATTCGTGAGTAGTATGTTAGTGCTTGAAGGGTTTAAATCACAAGCAAACATTACATACTGTATATATTCCTATATCATAAAATTTCAACCATTACACAAACTCACTGAAGGAGCATAACATACAATTTGTACACAGTAGAACAGTAATTTAAAATTTTGGTTCAAGTGTCTGAAAATAATTTTGAACTATGGAGTAGCGTTTTTACATAGCCTATGGTACTGTTGAGGAAGAATTTGAAGTTGCTGATTGTCATGGTTCGACGTTTCTGGTATAAGCGTATGAGTAGAGCTGAAGTGGAAGACAAACCAGTGACAAGAAATAAACCCCCAAAGCTATGAAGGTTTAGCCTGCTTGGATTGCTCGCTGAGTCCTGGTTTGTAAAGACCGAGTCAGTGTTGTTAAACCATTTATTTTCCATCATTTGCAGCTTTTCTTCCTCTCTTAGCCTCAGAATTGCACCTGATATGTCTTGCACTAGTGGGGAACCTTTTGGGAATACCTACGATCAATAAACATACAAAAAAATCAGCACCCGCTGTTGCAAATCAAAGGATCAAAATCATGGCTGTTTGTGAAAGAATCTTACAAAGCCAAAACCACCTGAGGTAGCCTTGGATTTAATCATGGTGTAATCTGCAGGGTACTTGGCAAGGAATACTTTAAGGTATGGTATCTCATCGATAATGGCTGACACACCACCATTCTTACTTCCCCTTCTTAGTGCATCGTCGTATTCTTCTGGAGATCGGTATTGCATCCGCCTGGGATTTTCATTTTTTAAGTTCCTAATAGCATGTGGAACCAGAGACTGAGAACCGACATAGTCCTCTCTCGAGCTCGATTGAATCCTCTGAACTGTTAACATGGAAGCCAAAGTTGCAGTGTAGCTTGAGGTTATTACAAGCACAGCAAACACCCATATTATCACAACAAACTTTGACAGGTTGCTCAACAGCTTCTCCTCTGCGGTTTCGAATTATAGTGAAAATGTATGCATACCTCAATGTATGTATAATGCACCAAATGGAAAAAATTCAAGTTGAACATAGATAGAGAACTTACTGTAAGCAAATACTAGAGTTGAGAAAGAGTACCAAAAGATCATTCCTATCTGCTGGCACCTTGAGCCTTGGAACTCGTCGTTGATGGGACTTTCGATCAGCCAAACCACAAAGCCAGTGAAAACAAAGAAGGCAGTAGTTGTTATCCACATACTTCCGGTAAGAGGCTGAAGGAAGATCCACATACTGCTTTTGTTAGATTTCGGCACGACGATTCCGATGCCCAAGTCAGTGTATGGCATTGTGAAATCGACATGTGAAAATCTAAAGGAGAAGATAGTCGTATCTCCCACAACAGCGTCGTAATTCTATTCCATTGATCACAAGAAAGAATACGTGAATACCAACATGCACGTACAATATTATCCAGTTCTCAAAAGATGAGACAAGATTATTATTTTGTACATTCTAAAATTGCACACTTCTGAAGATTATTATTCCTCAACGCAAACTACGATATGATCATAAGTAGGGATTCAGAGTACTGAAAAAGTTATAAATTTGTATTTCTTACCTTATAATATACCTGAAGGATAAGGTCGTCGTAAGTTCCTGCCAGTTGCCCATTGGCATCAACAAACGGGATAAACTCATAATGAACATCATAATCCAAACTTTTAATGGCTTCCTTGAACACATCAACACAGAATCCATTTACAGTTGTTTCTTTTGTTTGGGGATCACGAATCACGTTAATTAATTCGCTGAATCCATGATTTACTAGAACCCCAATCCTCAGCCTCTTGCCATGTAGATTCCAACCTTTTGGAATGTTCATAATTCCTCCGGGCCAAATAACACTTTCAAGCTTATTCGATGATGTCGAATTCATCTTAGTATCGTTTTTTTCCTTCATAATTGAAGTAGTTCCATTTTCAGGATTCCAGTAACCAATTGTTCTTTCTCCCTCGAATAAATTTACAATTTTGAATTCCTTTGGGATCAGCCTGCCACTAGTAAGTTGAAAGCCACCACTTATTCCCTTGAATCGACTCTGTGATATCTCATCAATAAACATCAAACCGTTTTGTGAGGTACGGATGGTGGTGAAGTTCATATTCAATCTGGTTTCTTGGCGTACGATATCGGGATGTCGAGTAATTATGCTTTCTGCTGCTGTTGCAAGAGCCTGAGCCATATCATAAGACCATATACTATAGACATTAATTTCCATTTCCTGCAAATTTTGTTCATTCAAGTTTTTACTCTTCCACCTTATCGCGAATTTGCGAACCTCCTTCGATGCCGGAATGTGAGGCTTAAATCCTACCACCCCCTGCATTGACTCGATGACTGATGGATCCATTGAATTCATGAAGTTTGTAATCACATCAGTAGTAATCCAAGCATACCCTTGACTTATCATTCCAATCCGTTTGGCGTTCAAGAAAAGTCGAGATGCGAGAACCGGTGACATGTGTACCACATATACACTCGTCTGCAAATTCATGAGCTTCTTGAGCTGCTCAATGATTTCTTCATTGGTAGATGATGCTAAAAGGGTGATATGCAGGGCAATACGAACACCGGTTGCTTCAAAAGAAGCGATGACATTAGAAAGGATTTGTCTTGCAGAATCATTATCTTCTGAAATGAGGATAACACTTCTCCATGTAAATGATTCAACAAGGGTGCTAATGATTTTGGCTCGAGTGGAATCATTTTCACCAATTTGAAGCAAATAAGGATACTCGGAGAAGGGCAGAGATGGAGCAGCTGCAAAGAGAGAAATAACTGGGATCTTGACTCTTGATCCTAATTCTGCTAAAATCTTCAGTCCAGCTGAATTTTCAGCTACAATAATGGCATCCAATTTCACACTTTCCAAGAGAACCAAGGCTGCACATTAGTAAGTGTATATTTCAGGACCCTTTCATAACAAAGAAAATAGTCTGCCATTGAAAGAGAAACCTTCCCTTAAGAAGAACGAAACGTACCATGGGATAGAAGAAGCAAAGGATCACCCTCAGAATCTCTGGTATGCAATACTAATTTTGTCCGATAGTGACTATTTTGATCGTAAAAGTCGGTTATAGCCATTGAAATGCAGCTGTATACAATTTTTCCCACCCAGGATTGCGTATCAATAATCAACCCTACATGAACCCGTATCTCTTCTATAGTACTATCATTGATACCGTTAACATTGGCTGACAATGGTTTTAGAAGACTAAGAAAAAATATAACTAAAGCCAAGGTCCACTTCGTCTTCCTCGCAAAATCCATGGATCCAAAAACCAAACAGGGAAGTACCCTAAGCAACTGTTTCAGTCAATAGTTCACCTAATAGATTTTCCACGAAGCAAGTAACATGTAAAATCTCAAAGAAATCTTCAAATTAATACCGTAAACTTTGGGTTTTATATCTTCAACAACATCAGTGTGAAAATAGGAAAAACAAATTTCAAACTACTACATAAGTTCTAATTATTTGACGTATACTAGCATTGACCCTTCACTTACGCTGGGGATTTATAATTTCTTATAAATTTGAGCCACACGTAAAGTAGAACATAAAATTCCTGAAGGCAATGCTTTCAGTGTCAATTCATAGTTCAACTGATATAGACCGTGATTATACAAACTCAATAAATAAACAGAACAAATAATATGTAGAGTGGCCCACCCGTTGAAATTTTTGGTTTACGAGTGATGAGATATTTTTGAACATTGAAGTAGCGATTTTCGAGAGTCTATGGTACTGTTGAGGTAGAATTTGAAGTTTCTGGTTGTTATGGCTCGACGTTTCTGATATAGACATATGACAAGAGCTTACGTGGAAGACATCCCGGTAGCAAGAAATAAAGCCCCAAAGCTATAAAGGTTTAGCCTGCTGGGATTACTTATTGAGTCCTGGTTTGTGAAGATTGATTCAGCATTGTTAAACCTTTATTTTCCATCATTTGCAGCTTTTCTTCCTCTCTTAGCTTCATGATTGCACTCGACATGTCTTGGACAAGTAGTGAACCTTTAGGGAGAACCTATGAAATACATGAAACAAATCGGCACCCATTGCCGCAAATCAAAGTAAGATCAAAATCATGACTGTGAATAGCTTTTGTGAATGAATCTTACAAAGCCAAAACCGCCTGAGATAGTCTTGGTCCTCTTGGAGTTAATCATGGTGAAATCAGCAGCGTACTTGGAAATGATTACTTTAAGGTATGGTACTACATCAATGATGGCTGACACACCACCATTCTTTCTTCCCCTTAGTGCATCATCATATTCTTCTGGAGATTGGTATTGCATTCGCCTGGGATTTTCAAAATATAAGTTGCCAAAAGCTCCTGGAACCCAAGAACCAGAATGATAACCGACAGATTCCCCGAGTTCAATTCAATCTGTTGAACTGTTAACGTGGAAGTCAAATTGCAGTGTAGCTTGAAGTTATTATAATTTATAAGCACAGAAAACTCCCATATTATCACAACGAACTTTGACAAGTTGCTCAAGAGATTCTCCACTGCAGTTTTGAATTGCAGTATAAAAAATTATTATTATTATTATTATTATTATTATAGTTGGCTTAGCTCAATGAATGCATTAATCACAAATATCAAGATAAAGCTACATTTAGTTTCATTTTTAAAACTCAAACTCAACTCGAGATTAACATGAGTTTACTTATGATCTCAATTCAATGTATGGGTACAGATGCATCAAACAGAAATCATAGTTAAGTTGAGCATAGAGTACTTACTGTGGGCAAATACTAGAGCTGAGAATGAGTACCAAAATATCATTCTTATTTTCTAAAATGGTGAGCCTTGGAACTGTCACGGTTGGGAGAGAGGAGGAGAAGCACGTAGCGAAGGGCATTGGGGATTCAGAAAATGAATTAGGGATTGAGCTAGGGATTGCACGTAGAATTGAATTTGATTGTCCTGATGAAGAGGAATTAGGGTTGAAAAAGGGAATTGGGGATGAAATCAATTCAATTAGGGATTGGGAGCAAATCAGGGATTTGGAACGGGAAGGGAAATGGAAATGGGATGGATGGGTTGTCATATGAAGGATTTACTGTTGGGACCAGAATTGAGGAGGATATTGGGTCAGCTGAGGCAAGAGGTGGGCTTAGTTAATGGTGGGCCACGGGTTGTATTCTGATGTGGCAAATGCTGCATATGATCCTGCATAAGTCAGCACAAGTTAGTTATTTTGTTAGATTTCCAGTACATACAGCTGTGGTACTTGTAATTATATAATATGTACCCGATTCCATGGGGATTACCTTTGATGAATGAATGACAAATTCTCTTCTTAAAATTCTTCTTCTACTTCTCTAAAAATCCCCATTCCTTATCCTAAATCATATATTCTCTCGTCTACTCTCTCATCTTTTCTTCTCTTCTTCGTCTATTGTCTTCTCTATTTCTTGAGGATCATAACAGGAACTCATCGTTGAGGGGACGTTAAATCAGCCAAACCACAAAGCCAGTGAAAGAAAAAAGAAAGCAGTAGTTGTTATCCACATACATCCAGAAAGAGGCTGCACATCAGTAAGTGGAGGACCCTATCATAACAAAGAAAATAGGGTGCCACATAAAGAGAATGTTCATTCAAAAAAAAAGAAAACGAAGAACATACCATGGATAGAACAAGCAGCAGATCACCCTCAGAATATTGGGTATGCAGAACTAGTTTTGTTCGAAAATGTGACTATTTCGACCGTAAAAGCATACAAGTTATTACCTACCCGATACGATCTGATTAAAGCATAATTTAAGCAAACTCTCTTAAAGCCCAATGATAACAACAAAGTAAAGGTGAAACTAGTGTAAGTTTACTTATCAATTAAATATAACATCTTTCACTCAAATAACAATAATACAAGCAAAAGAAATCTATTTAGAATGTAGGAATCTAGAGTTAATAAGCTTTAACAATATAAAAATTATTTAATGAAGAATGCGGGATTCGATGGTTGTAGAAGCTAGGGTAAAAAGTTTACTATCAGCCCTAATTTGAAATTTTGAAAGGGATCTTGAGACCAAACATTTGACCAACAACTGAGAACCATGACAGAAGATATAGTTCCAGCACCACTTCAAATTTAGGCCTAGCTGTGTCACTGAGAAAAAGCAACTTGATCCACTCAGCAGTCCCACATGGATGTAACTTGTACCATGGTCTTTTCAAGTATGGGTGTTCCTATAATTGAATTCACATGCCACTTTCAATCATATAACATCATGATAGCACCAAAGAATGTATTATTCCATTTGAGTAAATAAATTTGATATTAATTGAAAATAACCATTTTTTTCTTTGGTGGGTTATTAAGTTCAGAGAATGTTTTCCTCCTACATGTGGAAGGATCGAAAACCACAAAAAGTTAAATTTTCCTTTATGAAACAATACGACAGGAATTTAGAAAATTTATTAAGAAAATGTTGAATACAACAGCCAAGGTAATGACACAATAAAACAAGGTGGGAAAAACATACCTCTTGACTTATGAATATCCATTTTGATTTTGACAATTCCTTTGAAGAGCATGCAGGAAGCTCCTTTTCTATTTCATTCAACAGCAAAGGACTTCCATCTATACATGGTATAGTAATCATTCACTTATGCTCTCAAATGAATAACGAATTGAAGAATTTAAAAACGGAGTTCAGTCTAGATATACACGCCAATACTCACGCCTTCACAAGAACTAAGAATATGATAACCTGTCTCCTTGGTCTGCCACCATATACCATACTAGCATATATAAAATAAAAACGCCAACCACAGAAGCATTACAAACTACCTGACATAATCTCTTAATTAAACATCTATTATTTGCTACCAACAGCTTTGGTGAAGACGATTGAAAAAGGAACAGAATATAAACATTGGAAACGTGCAAGGCATAAAATTATCTATGAATCGGGATCCTAGGACCTGGTAAGTTTCAGCTACACTAAAATAAGATTTATGAGATCTATAATTACATAACCACTGTAATTCTTCGGGATGTGGATCAATAATTTTAGAACATGATATTGATTCCCAGCTGCAAGAACAGCAACATTATATTTCAAACAATTTTACTCCTTCAAATCAGACGACCCATTTCATGATCAGTTAACAAACCACAGAGCAATATTTCCATGGATTATGAGCCTTATCTCTTTTTTCTTTTAGCCACAACCAATTGCCTAATCTAAAAGTACAAACATGAACATAAGTTCATTTCAACTATGGTTTCTTCAATATGAGATATATCATACATTTAAGTCATATAAACAAGCTAAACTATGCCATGAGTATGTTCTACCTCCAAGCCGACACAAAATCATTGCTATACTGAGAAAGTGACTTACCACTGCAGTAAGAACGAAAATATAGCACTGGAACCCTAAATGTACTGCTGTAAACTATATGAAAATCATAGTAATGTAATTCATGATGATTGCTTTGGACCTAGAAAAACAACAATAACATGATCAACGTCAGCCAATAATAAATCAGACAATAGAACAAGAAAATTCCATGTTTACTCCCAAATTACACGTGAAATTTTACATTTCATGCAAACAAATTAACTGTAAAACCCAATTAAAATATATTTACCAATGTGGCATCATCAATAACATCTTCGTTTCCAGCGCAATTGGTCCCTTCTTCCTCGGTGTCAATTTGACTGATTTGATCAATTTCTTCCTGCACCCAACAGAGAAAAAAAAGAATGAAAAAAAAACACCTTTCTGTGAAATAATCGAATATGATCCATTAAATGACTCGAGAATGGACCTCATTTGGCCTGGAAAGGCATATCTTTTCTAGTGACAAGTAGCCCTCCTCCTGCAAAAGATTAACAAACAAAAAAATAAGTCAATTCCTATAAAAACACTAAATTATTTTGCAAAAAGAATTGGTAAAACAAATGAGTGAGAAGAGAAGTAACCTCAGGCGAAGCAAGCCAAGGGTGTTTAGGACTGAGAACCCATACCCATAGAGGAAAACCAGAGTTAAGACTTTCCCATTTCTGAGCAAATGCGAAAGCACCAACTCTGAAATCCTTTGCAGAAAGGGTTCCATCCCAATGTAAAACATCCATCTATTATCAACCAAAAAAAAAGTAAAACATCCACCAATTACTGTCCAAAACAGTTCCAACGTAAACAAGATAAAACTAAAATAGATAACAGTAATTCGAATTTAGTTTTTTTCCGGAACGTAGAAAGGAAACCAAAACCTATATTTAACTATGGACAACATTGAAGACTCACATGCAGGAATATGATAAAGGAGAAAGAGGTTCCTGGGTGGAACTGATTGGATCAAATTTGCCTTCACAGGGAATCAAACTTGATTTTTTAAAACTTATTCAAGTGCTTGACGCAAGGCGCGATTACGCCGGAAACCCGAACAGAATTTATCATACTCTAATATTTTCCCAGCGTTATTAATTTGTCAAAATATGCCTCCAATCCCTCTAACCTTAAAATTTCTGAAAAACTCTTTTTCGGTTTAAAAATTAGGATAAATTACACGTTTACTCAGTAAACTTTACTCTCTCTCCTATTTTACACACAAAACTTTCAATTGTTTCAATTTGCTCATTAAACTTTACACATTGAATTTTTTTGTTCACTCCACCGTCAAACTTGTAACGCCGTTATGACATGTTATGTGAAATTTAGTTTATGCAATTATTTTTAATCTATTTTTAATATTATTTGCTCTAATTATGATTTAAGAATTAGTTTTTTTATGATTAAGATTTAGAATTTAGTGTCTAGAGGGGTTTAACTTTTTCAATTGCAAGGACTAAAATCTCGCACTCCATTCAAGATTCAAGACTTGTGGCATAATTTGATTCTTTTTCAGGTAATTCGTTTATTGTCACACTATTTCTTAAATTTATCAGTCGCGTGCATAAAATGTGTAAAATTCCATTATTGATACTGATCAATTAGCATTTTCCTACGTGATTCCGAGAGAAATCCACTGTTGAACTGAGATTACTTATCTTCTCTCAAGTTCATGTTCTTCCACATCGAATCTTCCGATAGCCAGTCAGCAACTATAATCTGGTAATCATAATGAACACGGCGCTGTGTTTCCGTAAACAGTCCTTGTGTGGGTTGAAACGACAAACAGATGATGAAATAGAAATACTGTATAATGAACTAAGCAAGAGTTATACATACAAAAAAAAAGAGTGCATATATTAGAGGATTAAAATATCATCTTGTACACCTGATTAAAATTAACAAGGCATTTTTTTTCTTTTTCTGCTGTTAAGATGTTAAGTCCATATTCAGACACTGCAACGTGAAAGGTTAAGGCTAATAGTTAAGTGAGAGGATCACGGTCAACTTTTCCCATTTTTAGGAAAATTAGTGAAGATACGGAACCTGATACTGGTAGCTAGCCGAAGTAGTTACCACGACTGGGAGTGAAGTTATAAGTGGCAGAACCAAGAAGAGTGGGGCTGTCGTGGTCATCAGGTCCGGGGTAAACACAGGGTCTGTCATACACGAACCGCGGGTACCTATCGGTTACTCTAGAATAGAATGGTTTGTCAGCAGCTGCGTTAGTGAGTCGTGGACCATATCCTGCACCGTTGGCACGAGGTCTCTTTGGTTGAGGCTTTGCAGATTCAGTTGCCCCCTTCTTGTCTGCTTTAGCCTTCTCCGATTGGAGAACCCACTTCTGAAGTGGATCAACAGGGAATTGTCCCTCAAGACTATGCTCCTCAATGCATTTGATCACAGTCTTCAGAGCCTCCAACCCCCGCTCATTAAACTCGGTCTGGAAATACAGAAAAAAAGTATTTCAGTCACACACAAAAAGCAGCACGATTTTTAACAAAATAGTCTGCATTCATAGCAAGAACAAATTGCCCTCGGCGCCACATGCAAATA